GGCTTGGGAGCAAAACTCTATAGGTTGACATCATTAGTGGGAGAGGGAGACGAGCCTAAGAAGAAGACAAGATCAAGAGACAAGATGTCACACCTGACATAAGCAAGGAAGAGGTCAGAAGGGACACTATCTGAGCCACCAGACACATTCGATCAAAAGTACAATGTATAATAACATAGAGTTTTGGGCGCCCGAACCACATACCTAACATATGAACTTGTATAAATATGTGTTCTCTCCTCATAAATAACAAGCTATCTACATTTACTACAACTTCTCTCCACTTTCTCCCTCTAACCTACTCTTTCTCTTCTATTCTCCAGCTCTTCATGGGGCGGGGTGCTTGCTCCCTTGAGGTCATCTAGCTCACGCCCCAAACCCTTTAGACCCAAATGACCTTTCTTGTTTGGGCTCAAACATTATGAATTAATTTTAGTACATATAATCTTTGAAAATTCATTTTTTCGGATCGTCACAAGTCGTAGAAAAATATATTTTTCATGTCATTTTATCATAAAAAACTTATGCGAATCTAGAGTGATGATTTGTATCCGCACGATACTCTTGTGCACGATATGAGAGGATTTATGACATTCATCAAGCTCGCTCCTAAGCTCGTTTCACTAATTCATTATGGTTTCGATCATGGTATGTTGGGGTTCACAGTCTCTAAGATTCTTCATGTACTAAGTTTAGTTGGGGTTCCCCTAAAACCCTAATTAGGGTTCACCCTTTTAAGTCTAATCAACACAAGATGTCTTTAGACTCTTAATTTGAATAATTTTTAATTAGTTCGTCAAATCAAATAGAAAATATATTTGTATAAAATATGTGGCGGCATAGTAATATTTTCTAACATATATTTGTGATTTTTTCTTGCCCGAAACTTCCGGGCCGGAAGCCTCAAGGTCGTAACCATATTTGTATGACCTCTCTTTTGGGCCACAAATTGGCCTTCGTTCGCAACTTTTCTGTTATTGGGCCTAAAGGAGGGACAAGTTACTATGACAACACTAGTCTTCCACCAATAGGAAGGTAGGGATGTGATGACTTTTAATTAATTGAGTTGACCTAGTGTAAAATCAAAATAGGGGTATAATTGTCATTATGAAAATATGTTTAAATAAAAATAAAAAAATAAAAAAACATTTTTATTTTCTGCCCAAAAATTTGGTCGTCGGAATTCTGCCACTGGTCGCCGGAAACTGGTCGTCGGTCACCGGAATATGTTTTTTGTCGCCGGAATATGGTATTTGTCGCCGAAATATGCTTACCGGTGTCGCAATCTAGTCATCGGGGCTGGAATATGCCTATCGGCGTCGGAATCTGCTTTTTTGTGGTTTGTTTTACCGTGCTTGTGGTTTGTATGATGAAGTTTATGTGTGCTTTAGAGTCTCAACTTTTGCCGCCGCTCGACCAGGTGGTCGAGGCAAGTGTGCTGGTACCATTTCGTCTAGTCGCCGATAACCCACCAAAGTTCGGTTACTTCGGCTACCGGTTAGTGGATAACCGTTCGGTTATCAGTTTAACCGGCCGGTCAACCGATAACCGATAACCGAACTGCCATCCCTACCTTAGACTCTTATTTTGAATAATTTTTAATTAGTTCGCCAAACCAAATTCGCACCACTAATTACAGAAAAATCCTGCCGAGCATCGCCCAAATGTTGACAATGTTTATTATTTGGATGTTGAGGAGAGGAGAAGGTGTTCAGCACGTAGGTAGCAATTAGGTTTAGGGAGTCAATGAGAGAGGAAGAGGATACGATGGTCGAGTTGGGGGAGTCGGCGAGAGGGATTGTATACTGGGAGAGCTATTCCCACACAGCCGCGGGGGAAGTTCGTGGAATGCGGCGAGGAGTCGTTCTTCGGCTACGCTCCGGGGACAGTGAAGGAAGTGGCTCCGATGAGCGGGGTGGAGGAGAAGGGTCGCAAACTCGCAATGATGAGAGATGAGACCTGACAGCGGGTGAATTTTAATTCACTTTATTTTATTATTTTCTATTTAATTTACCTTTTTATCCTTAATGAATTTTATATAACAACACTAAGGAACATTCCTGCTGACTTGCAGAGTGCGGTTCACTCAGCCATCAGATTTCGCGGTCTATTTATATGCCTAGGAAACAGCCGAACAGTGTCTTCCATTCAAATGCTTTCCTCAACAGCTCTGCTAAGTCGAAAGTGAGAAAGGCGGCAAGTTTCCCCAACGGCTCTCTTAGTTTCTCGATCGTCCTCTCCGTCTCCGATCCACTTCTCCGTTCAAGGGGAATTCGCATTCGTCGCTGGGAGTTGCGGAATCACACTTCCGGACCTTTACTTCGTAAGCGCTTTCTTCTATCCCTCGTTGCCTCATCTCCCCAGGCTCTAGTTCCCACGCGCAATTCGTGAATCTCATTCTTTTTACTTGTTGTTCGAGAAATTAGGTTTTTCTGAAACCCTAACTTCGTCAGTTCTCGCTCTCTCCGACGTTGCCTGTGTTTTCTCCTTTACTGCGATCCATCGAATATGGTGGCGGAATCAGCTTCCGCCACCACCCCCTTGTTGTCTCTGCCGGTGGGCTATCACTTTAGCCCTAGCGATGAAGAGCTCGTCGAGTATTAACTGAAGAAGAAAGCTAGAGGAGAGTGTTTCCCGTACAATGTGATTCCCTATTGCGATCTCTACGGCGACAAGGCTCCGTGGGTGATGTTTCCCCGGGATGCCGGAACAGGAAGAGACAGGTTTTTCGTCTTCACCCGGCTGAAGAGGCTAAGTAAGAAGAGGGTTTCGCGGACAGCCTCGATTGGAGAATGGCATGGCAACACTTCTGGTGCGCCCATTGTTGATGGGAAGAACAATGTGACTGGGGCTAGGAGACAGTTCGTTTTCAAGTTGAAGAAAGGGAAAGAAGAAGGGAGTGGCTCGGGAGCTCTTGTGGGCCATTGGATAATGCATGAGTATTCACTGGCTGGGATTGATTCTGATATTGTGTTGTGTGAAATTGAAAACAAGGAGAAGAAAAGGTTGAGAGTTGATGATGAAAGGGTGTTGTGTGAGACTGTAAACAAGGGAAGTAAAAGGCTCCGGATGGATGAAGAGGGAGCTTTCTTGACTGCCACGGAGGATGCTGGTGTATCATCATCATTGTCGGAAATGGTTACAGAGTTAACCAGTGACTTTTCCTTGCTCACCCTCTGTTGGACACTCGGCAGAACAGATACAAATTCAATGTGAGGTGCAGGCAGTAGCGAATGGTGGACTGAGTTGTGGAGACTCTTGTGATATTCTTGCTGCATCAACGATCAATTCTGAGGAGGAGACCATGTCTTCCCTTCAAATTTCAATCAACAATCCCACGACATCCTCATCTTCATCATTGATTCCTGTAGCTTCAGCTTCCGATTCGGATGTTTCTCAGCCTCAAGGTGACTTTTCAGGAGATCTTCAACTTGGATTACTTACAAGCTGCGGAACATCAGAGTTGATTGATCTTCCAATGTTCGACTTCAATGATAACTTGTGCAACCTACTCGAGTTCGACACCAGTGTTGAACTCGACATGACTGGTTTGTGGTAGGTGTGAGGTCTTGTTTGATTTCCATTTTACTAATTGCTAAGTGATAGCTGCTTGACTGCTTGTCAAGCATCTTATATCACTTAATGGTTTAAACTATTATGTCTGTGTATATTTTGTGCGGCAATGGTTTCTATTTGAGGCAGAAGCAGGGAGCGGAAGAGATTGGGATTCTTTTCCTAACTGCAGGGTGGAAGGTTTGCTGGCAACTTCAACATTTTGAGATTTCGTTTGAGTGACCCATTTCTTCTCTGGAATTTCAGGATTCTCAATTGGTGTTTCTGCATCTTGCTGATGCAATTCCATGAGTTATGTGCAAGGCAGCCTCGATTAGGAAAATCTGACTGCTAAGCTCCATACTTTGAGGTGGTAAGAAATGAATGATGTGGTCGAACTCATTGAATAAGGTCCTTCAATCCTTATTTCTAGTTTATGCATGACAAAAGAAACTGATGTTTCATTCGATGATGCAGCTTATGAAGAATAGCAGGAGGAACAAAAACCACACTACCTTGCTCAGCTTGGCAGAAAGGATAACCAAAATAAGGGATTTGAATGAACCATGATGAGTTTGGAGTGTTTTGATTGAGGCCCTGCTGCTTCATATTATAACTCTGTTGCTTGTCATTGAATTCATTTGTTATCATATATATGCAATTTGGCTATTGCTTGATAACCACTTGCATTATTGCTGCTTTCTCTCTTTTATTTATGGACCGAATTCTTCATCTAACTTCTATTTTTTAACCTAATCATGCAGGGACTAATATGTTGGGCTGTTCCCCTGGAGAGTGGTATAGTTTTAGTTATTCTTCGCCTCAGCAAATTGGGAAGGCTGGTCAGGTCTGCTCTAGTCAGTGAGTTACGGCGAGAAGGTGGAGGAGACTCTCTGTCTCAGTTAGAGTTGAAGCTACAACAAGTAGTGAAGGCCTAGCTCGAGAGTTTTCCAGTGGGGGCAGCAGAAGCTGTATCTTGATTAGCCTGAAACGATAGTTGTAACTGCAATTGGCTGCTTTGTTCTCAGCATCCTGCTGGTTTTTTTGTAGTAGTTTGGGATGTTTGTTTTGTTGCAGCCATGCGATGTGGGTTGCCTTTACTATTCATCTCTCCTGCACTGAATCAGGGTCAACTATTTAGTGGCTCTTTTGTATGTATAACAGAATTACATTTTAGTGTCAAGGAAAAGCAAACCCTCTTCTCTTTATGTTGTGGAATGTTTCTTGAGGTGATGGGATGATGATTTGATCCTGAAGAATGCCTTAAAATTGAGTTTTAATTATAAATAGTTGGTTTGGTAGAAGAAAAGAGAACGATTCTGGAAATCAAGCTGAACTGCTGAAGAATGCCTTAAAATTGAGTTTTACAAAATAAATACTTGGTTTTGCTTTAGAACAAAAAAGAACGATTCTAGAACTCAAGCTGAAGAATGCTAAGAATTGAGTTTAACAGAATAAATACTTTGTTTTGTTGAACAACAAAAAAGAACGATTCGATCTAGAAACACTTAACTTCTTTCCCTCCGCAGGTACTATCCTCTTCAGTCTTCACAGTTCACGCAATGAGTTGACAAAACAAAACCATACAAAATCTGAGAATGCCAACTCACTACCACTAGCACATAAAAACAAGTGGAACCACCAGGCTCATTGTTTTCATTCTCTGTACACAACTTCTCATTGTTTTCATGAGCCAATATATGGCTACAAAAACCCTCAAAGTAGTATTGCCTTCAACTTCAGTCTAGTTCAAGATTCAGAGTACACAGAGCTGACTCAACTAAATACAAAATATTTTACCAGGCAAGCGTGTGTATCAATTACCGGATCTCTTCAAATATGCGAAAAACCCTAGCCCAGCGACCAATGCTGCACCTGCTGCCACTGTGCTATAAGCCGATGCCCACGCATCTCCTTGTGCATAATCTAAACTTCCTGAACTAGACTGTTGCCTCTCCGTCCCTCTTCTGTGACCCCTAACTCCCGAATAGTCTAGATGCAATTTCAAACCCTGCACACCAAAATGCATAGAGACGTGCTTGAATCCAACATCCAGCTGGGAATTCAGATTTACTAGTATAGCAATGGGTTACCTTTAAACCGGTCACTCTTGCATGCTCTACGGCGGTTGATAGATCATTGTCGCACTCGATAACAACTTTGTCATGGTCTTCATCTTCATACTTTTAGAACATGAGCACACATTAGCATTTTGTGTACCAAGAGAAGAAAATCTAGGAAGCTAAGGAGGAGGACAATAAACGAGTACTGACGTACCAAAATTTGAGGCAAGTTATTGCGGTCAATATCGTTCCCAAGTCGTTGAAGAATTGCTGTTATTAGATCCGTCAAACTTCGAGTCTCTATTTGGGTAAAAAAAAATATAGATGACCATGTCAACAACCCCTAGTCTATGATAGTTAATTCAAATTCAAGCACTAGAATCATGTAAATGCAGATTTTCGTAAACCAAATACTGAGCAATCAAACAATGCCTGACAAGAATATCATACCACATGTAAATCTGTGCATCCTCCCTCTTTTATCTTCAATCTTGAAAGAAAATGTATTTGGTACCAACGATGATGGATGGGGAAGGGTTCTCCCTGACTCTGTTCCTTCGGAATTCATTTTCAAGGATCCCTCACTGAATTCCAAACAATATCAAATGAGAAAGCAAACTAACCAGAAATCACAGTTCGATCAAAAGAACAGAAGAGAAGAATGAAACCTTCGAGATTCATCATCATCATCATGAGGACTTAATGCCATAGCAGAATCCCAAAACTTCTGCATCATTGTGCTCGTGGCCTCATTATTTACTGCCCCGGCATTTCCAACCTGTTTTAAAGAAGGGAGAATGAAAATACATACATACTAGTGACAAGGATTATAGTGGACAGCATACTTGATCAATCTCCTTCGAAATGTGGATTCATTGTAGACAACTTTAGTTACAGTGCATAAAAGGAATTGCTATACTTACTGTGGCCACGGCAGCATGAGTTATGTGAATCACATCTACAACGGCAACTACAACACCATCTGTACCCATCCACACTTTGGTCAATAAAGTAACAAAAGGATGGGTCAAACAAATTTCTATATATTGCTTTGTAGACAAACACATTACCCTTATCCACAACAGGAAGGTGCAAAAACTTTCCGTCGTGCATAGTATGTAAAGCATCAACAATTGGTGTATCAGTCGTAGCACACTCGGGATTAGGCGTCATGACCTGCAGGTGAAACCAAATCCAAACGCCTCAAGCAATTGTCTCATTTTCATTGAAAAAAGAAGTGATGTTCAACATGTTCCAATAGTCACAAGCACTAGTAATATGCCTGTGGCAAATCAGATACATGCCAGGCATATTACTACAATTGTCTTTTCAGTAAAACTCCGACCAAATCACGTCACCAAGAAGAGAAGGATACCTTTTCAACAAGCATGGAATCTGGGGCATGGTTTTGTGCTATCACCCGCATCAAGATGTCTTTTGAACTGAAAGAAAAAAAAATTAATACTGGTATTCAGGCTTTTTGCAACGAAGAAATTGGAATAGCCCTACATTAGGAGCAAACTATTTTTTCATACTTCCCCTTGGCTCCAAGTCTACATTTACATGAAGGGTAAAAGGACTCACGTAAGAATTCCCCGTGGTTTATCATCAACTATAACCACAGCACAGCTTGACCGAGATTCAAGCATCTTCTTTGTCACTGCCAAAACTGTTTCAGTTGGTGAAACTGTTACAACCCTGAAAGATATCACGATAGAATCACAATAATCAACCTGTGAACACTGGGTAGTGGGTATTAGGGTACACTCTGCATACAAATGAAAGGAACTAAAATATTACCTACTTTGAATTCTCTGGAACTATTGTCGATAAGGAAGGCCTGAACATCCGTTCCCGAAGCGTCTCGATGAAAGAATTTTGTCCTGCACGCAAATCATAATACAATATTAAAGAAATGTCAACCAAATACCCACTTTCTGCTACATTTGAAATTTCATATCCAACAACTGAGTTTAAGAAAATGTTTGCCTAAAGTTACACAGGGAGAGAAATGGACAAACCAGAAACAGAAGGACCCCAATTTTTTTCGACACCTTCAACAGCTGCAGCAATTGCCTTCCCCTTTTCAGCAGCCCTTTCCATACGAGCAATAGCATCATACAAACACTTGGCTATATCAAGTAAGGCGACGACCTCCCCGTTGTCTACAACAGGCAAATGTCTGAATTTCCCTGTATATACAAACTATCAGGATCAGTATCCTAAAGTGAGTGGGTAAGACACAATTTGGAACTTGCTACCTGATTAACACAAACCTTGTACCATTTTCTGCAAAGCTTCCACAGCCAGAGTGTCAGAGAGAACAAAAACAGGGTTCCTGGTCATTACTTTAGAAACTGGAGTCTCCTCAAGATTGATCTCCCGTGCAATGACCCTTGTTGCTATGTCCTAAAATGAAATACATCAGAAGAAAAAGGTTAAAGGCGGCAAGGTAATGGTGTTCATTGAAGAAACCTCCCTTCTTCGCAAGCTGATACAATATGATAATCTTTCAAACCTTGTCCGTAAGGATTCCACAGAGTAATGCATTTGAATCAGTTAGCAACAAGGCATCAACTCTTCGAGCAGCCATTCGCCGGCAGGCATCATATATACTTGTACTTTCAGGTACCGTTAAAGCCTTTGACAACCGCAATCGCTTTACAGTCCGCTCTCCAGTTAAACCCCTGCCAGAGAACAAAGGAGTTCGTTTAAAGCAAACATCTTTCCACAAATGCATCCAAATATCTGACAAATAAGAGATTCACGGTGTATCAACATGAAGCACAAGGTCATCAACAAAATCCAATATATGGTTATTTGGTTTCAGACATTTCTTAAAACATGATTGGTACAGACAAGAGCGATATTCTTCCCAGTACTGATCCAGCAACTTATCTCTTAAATTAAAAATTGCGAGGAGATAAAATCACTAAACAAGCTTCGATGGTAAAATATCAAGCCCCAATAACAGCAACAACAACGGACATATTGTTAAAAAAAAAAAAAAAAAAAGCAACAACGGACATAGAATCCGAAAGAATCTCGCAAACCAATCGCTCATGGATTTCATCAAGCTAACATCCGATTGCGCACAGAACAATGGGAAATTAATTGAATAAGAAAGAGAGCACTGTTCGACGGACATAAGAACTTACACAGGACGAGAAATGACGAATGATTTTCGCGACCGGTCACCAGCTGCTCCCATGTCAGCGCTGGAGTTCCTCCGGCCGTTGACAGGGGCGCTAGAGAACGTCGAACTTTTCCTCGAAGAGCCGCCTTGACTCGCCATGTAATAACAATTGGCCGGCGATTCCCGCCTTCTCTCTTCTTCCAAGCTCCCTGCAACAAAATCAAAACTTATAGCTTATGCACCGCTTATTCGTTTCCCAATTTGCAAGCCACCAGAACAGAGAAAGCGAATCACAGGAAAGAAAACCCAATCGACAAAGATAATCAAAAGAAAAACCTGAAAAGTTTGACGATTGCCAAAGCAATGTCAACCCAAAGCAAATAGATATTCCGATCAATCAAATCAATCTTCGAGAGGAAGAGAAATCAAAATCGGGGGAAGAGTAATCCAGAGGAATCGGACGGGGGAATCAGTCGCGGGTCGGGTTTGTTTTCGGAAAATACGAAATTTTCCGGGAAAATGCACCGACCGGCGAGAGGGGAGAGATGGAGGGAAGCGACAATTTGGAATTTGGATAGAGAGAGACGATACGTAACCCTAGGAATATGGGGGAGAGAAGCGTAGCAAATAATCTGCCCGGATTGATCGGAGCTGGCCGGTGATATTTTAGCACGTCGCCGATTTTGACCGAATCTCCAATTCTACGCTACTTTCCCGGTAAAACCCACAGCTGCGAATTTTGGAAACTTACAGGCCTGCAGTGGAAGCATGAAACAGCCAGAGAATCACAATATCTTAACTGAGATAGAGAGCTGGGGAAGATGAAGTCGAGATTAGACGGGAATGATATTAGGGATTTGGATTTGGAGGACTGGATTGCGGGAGAGGAGATAAAGCTGAGGCGGCCAGGCGGGTGATGAACTGGAATTTCGAAAAAGGAAAGAATTAATGGCAGGTTTTGCACCTGAAATTCGGTATTTGTTCAAATTAATCCCCTAACTTTTGTTTTTTCTCAATCTAACCCTTGGACAAGTAACTTCAGCTAACGAGCTCCAACCAGGTCCTGAAATTGGGGATTTTTTGTTGTCATAATGGGAAATAGGAAGGGATGGGAGACTTTACTATTGCATGGTTAGTGAACCACATTGGAGAAGATCGGACAAATTAGCGAGTAATAACTAATAATTATGATTTAATCAATATCATGTCAATATAATATTAGTCTAAAATAGATTAATCAATACTTTTTGATTGATATTAGTCGATATTATACTATTATATTAACGTTTGTACTGATATGATATTTTGCACTTGTCATTACAAACGTTTTCCAAATAGTGTATCGTATTAGGTTTGATTGGCAATATATGATTTTATGACCTAAATAGATGATACAATTTGGTTCATTAGCATATGACCTAAAGTGGGAAGGGTCGATGGTGTCACTGTTCACATTCGCAAAATTAGTCAAAACCTTGCCTTTTAAGTTTTAACCCTCTAATCTTCTAGGTAGGCCATAACCAAATATAAATTATGGAAACTGTGAACCTTGACCAAAGGAGTTGGCTTATGAAACTTACCAAATTTAGGAGCCATTTTACGGGGGGGAAATTGTCCCGAAAGTACAAAGAATGAAAGTTAGGGGCCAGAATGGCTATTAATGAAAAAGTGAAAGATGGAAATAGAAAAAGCCAGAGGCAGGGTTGACGATGATAGAGGACACGAACGTGATGAGCCCAAAATCGGGTATCAAGGGATCAAAGTCGCGCAGAGAGCTAGTTTGATCAAGGATTTAATCTCATATATTAAAATAGAACTCGACCCTAGCTTGCCCAAGCTCGTGCAAACTCAGTTTCGGATGGAAACGAACAGGAACCCTTACACCTGGAAGGATGCACACTCGTTATGAGGAAGCTTTCGATGCAATCGAGGGCGATTCTCAATTGATAAGCAAGATTCAGCAAGTTTTGATCGCAACCAAAACCAATCAAACTCACAAACTCTCAAGTTTGGGATTTGGGGTAAAAATTCACTCAATCGTGTTCTAACTATCACAACGAGAACTAGAGACCTTTTATAGCCAAAGAAACCTATTACAATTCTAAACTAACAAGGAAACCAATTAGAATAGGAAAAACTAAAGAATTTGTGTAAAACAAGGTAACTTCTAGGCCAAGGAACGGATTTAAAACACAAGCAAGTCTGCCTAAAAAACAGGCTGCATAGCATCTTTGAGCCCTTTAAAAATGGTGTTTTAGGTTGATTCAAACTCAACCATTTCCTTGCCTTTGTAAAAGTAAACTCCCTCTTTCACCTCCAACTTGAACCGACCTGAGATCATGCTCCAAACTCCATATATAGGCCTTCAAAATTGGTATCTCAAAACAGTTTTCTGCCTTAGCCAAATTCAAGCAGTTTTCCTGTTTTGAGGTAGCCTTTTGATTGGCTTCGAAAGTGACCTTCCAGACATCCCCTTGAGCTCCACAATACACCAATGTAAAGATAAGAACTTTATCTTCAAAATGACACCTTACACCATAATTTATATCGATCCATTTGGGAGTAACAAGCTTCCAAAGATGGTATCCTGCAATACAAAAATGACAGCCAAAATTCCCTCTTCTTATCCGTGATTGATCCAGCTTCTCGATCGATCCTGTGAGGTTTGGAATTCAAGGGGTTTAGGATCATCAAGCCCCCTGTTGAAAAAGCTTTGTCCTCAAAGGTTGGGCCTTATTCTCTTCAAAAGACCCACAAAATTGATCCCAAACTGGATCCGAGAAAGGCTGCTCACAAAATAGTCTCAAATGAAAATTTGCAGTTTCCGGCGACGGCGAACCTTCCGGCGAGGACCCCGAAATTGGGTATTTCTTCGGGAAGCCTCCTTGATTCAATTCGTCACTGACAGTCGACTCATCTGGACCCCACGAATCGGTTAGACCCCTTTTCCAGCTTTCGAAGTACCCCAACACGCTCCAATTCATCTCCCACGTGTTTTCCGCCATCAGCAACGTTTGAATCTCCAGATTCCAGTGACCCAAACCCAGAATCCGGCGAGGTAAGCCGAAAATTGGGCACTTTTGATTCCTTGATTTCGAAGATGAACTGAGCGTTACTACACCTTCCTGGGACCTTCTCGAGTCCATCCACAGCCACAGTGTGGCTCGATTCACCCCCAACCTCATCAACCAATTCACCATTCTTAGCCTCGTGTAGTTGCGTGTTCGGATCGACGCATTTCGGCTTCAATTGACCATTGCTACACGTTTCGAGCAACTTGACGACACTATCGACGTCTTCAGCGCGACCTGGGTTGACCCCATCTTCTCCACCCAATTCACTCTCTTTCTTCCCTTGCCCATAAGCCGCCTGAAAACAGAGCTGGCTCTCCTCTGCTGCTGGCTGACTTCTCGCTCGTCGGAGAACTGTAAGTACAAGCTTTCGAATGGTTAAGCCGACCCCAACACCCTTCAAGCTGTTGGATTCTCCATCACTCTTGGCTCGATTGGAAGCCAATTGTCGCTGAGCAGCTCGGACCTCCTCGGCAGACAACGGTTGCAGCTTGAATCATCGAGCTTGAAAATGTAGCAATTCGCCCGCCCATGGTGAGTAACACCGCGGTCATACTTCTAGGGCCTTCCTAGTAGCACGTGGCGACGTGCATCGGCGCCACATTGCAGAGGATGCGATCTTTGTATTGCCCAATTTTGAACTCCACCCAAGCTTGTTTAGTTACTTTAACCGCACCATGATCATTAAGCCAGTGGAGGCTGTAAGGTTCGTGGTGTTTAAGCGTGCTCAGCCCGAGCTTCCTAACCGTTTCCAAGCTCACCATGTTGGTACAGCTTCCCCCATCGATCACCATCGAAGCTGTCTTCCCTTGTATTAGACAGCGAGTGTGGAACAGGTTATCTCGCTACTGAGTTTCACCATCAGCCTCAATGGTGAGAGATCTTCTGTTTACAAATGTTAGCTTCCCAGGTGGAGTCTCGGCAATGATTTCTTCAATGACTTCGTCGTCGGAGGGAGTTTGATCAGGCCTCTCCGCCTCCTCTTTAGCATTAGAATAGTACTCTCCGTCGCGAAGAACCAGTGTCTTCATATTTGGGCATTGAAATGATTTGTGCCCACGACCGTAGCATTTGAAGCACTCCAACCTGCTGGTAGTCCCTCCAGCTCTCTTTGGAATACCAGAAACAATGCACTATCCCGCAGACTTTGCCTTGGCTGGTCGAGTAGGAACAGAAGCTTCACTAGGAACTATTTCTACCGCAACACTTTGTCGAGGGGTCGTGGTTTGGAATCGGCGTCTAGTTCCAGTCTTCAATTGTTGTTCAACCTTGATAGCAAGGTGAACTACTTCTTCCAGGTCCATGAATTGACGCAATTCCACTTCATTCCGAAGCTCCCTGTTGAGGCCATGAAGAAAGCGTGAAATCGTCGCCTCATGATCCTCTCTCACGTCAGCTCTAACCATTAACAATTCCAGCTCCTTGTAATAATCATCAACGGACCTCAACCCCTGTCGTATTGCTTGCAATGACTCGTATAACTCGCGTTGGTAGTATGCCGACGCAAACCGCTCTCTCATCAACCCCCTTAGCTCTTCCCACGTCGCCACAGGAGCCTGCAAGTTCCTTCTTCTTCTCAATTGTACCTTCTCCCACCAGGTCGCAGCATAATCAGTGAATTGGTAAGTCGCCAATGTGATTTTCTGCGAATCGCTGTAATTGCCGCACTGAAAAAACAAGGTAATCTTTCTCTCCTTATCCAGATATGCAGCAGCATGATTGTTCCTTGAAAGGCTGGAATCAAGAGTTTAATTCCCCTCAACTCCGACACGGGCACCTCCTCTGTTCCTTGTTCAGCCCGCAACACTCCTGGTCGTTGATGATTTGGCTATTGTTGGTTGACGTCCAGGGTCATCATTTGTCGTTCTAGCTCCATAATGCGTTATGTCAGAGCTTGAACGTCGGCCTCAATTATATTCCTCCTCGGATTGCCTTGATTCCCTAGCGGTGGGAACCCCTGCTCGTGAGCGGCTTAAGTTCTGAGCGGCGGCGCCGCCATTGGTTCCTCCTGTTGTGGCAGCATCGTTACCTGGCGAGTCAGAGCATCAAATTTATTATTGATGTCTTTGAACCTTTCTTCTTGCTTGTCCAGCTGGTTGTGGAGCATAACTACGACTTGCTCTTGTAAGAACTATTACATCCCTGCCATCGTCACAATTGAGCCTCTCCCATCATCAATTCCGATTGATTAGAAGCATATGCAGGGTTGGAAGTTTGATTCGTTGTTGCCACTGTTGCTGCTTGTTTCTTCTTCTTTTTCTGTTCGGATAACAGCAGGGCAGGGTCACCTGAGACAGGGTCCATTGTGTAGAACCAAGCTCTGATACCACTTGATGAGCCCAAAATCGGGTCTCAAGGGATCAAAGTCGCGTAGAGAGCTAGTTTGATCAAGGATTTGATTTTATATTAAGACGAACGGGAACCCTTACACCTAGAAGGATGCATAGTCGTTATGGCGAAGCTTTCGATGCAATCGAGGGCGATTCTCTATTGATAAGCAAGATTCAGCAAGTTTTGATCGCAACCAAAACAAATAAAACTAACTAACTCTCAAGTTTGAGAATTGGGGTAAAAATTCTCTCAATCGTGTTCTAACTATTACAAGGAGAACTAGAGGCCTTTTATAGCCAAAGAAACCTATTACAATTCTAAACTAACAAGGAAACCAATTAGAACAGGAAAAACTTAAGAATTCGTGTAAAACAAGGTAACTGCTAGGCCAAGGAACTGAATTAAAACACAAGCAAGTCTGCCTAAAAAACAGGATTCATAGCATCTTTGAGCCCTTCGAAAATGGTCTTCTAGGTTGATTCAAACTCAACCAATTCCTTGCCTTTGTAAAAGCAAACTCCCTCT